ACTCGGGCCCTCTCCAGCCAAGGGTCCAAAGGCTTTGAAACTGGGCGACAAGTACCAGTTTTTCTCCTTGGCCCATCGCTAAAGACACAACTTTGTCCGCTGACATCTTGGTTCTTCTTGCTCAGCAAAGACCCCAAAATTCCAGGAACCAAACCTGAAACACGGAATGTGTGTTCCATATGCATGTTGATGCGCGGCCTTCCATCATAAAGTAGTATTGCATACAAATTATATATACACGCATGTATACACACACGCGTATGCATATCATATACATGTGTATATATATAGAGATATTCTGAACCAGCAAGCAAACAAATCGCGATAACATGAGTCCAGTTGCGTTGAAATGTTGCGCCACATGGCCGCTTTGCCGCCGAGTACACCCGTGCATCAAACTCCAAACTTAGTCAAGCTCTGCTAAGGTATAGTTGTAGCTCGCACAACTGCAAAAGGATCAACCAGCCAAAAACCATAAAACAGATCCATAGCCATAAGACACAGTGGTAGAAATTGGGGCACAGACTTGTGCGACACTCACACATTCATCGCGCCCCTCGTGTAAAGCAAAAACCCACCATACCACGACACCCACAAAAACCAAATCAGTTGTCCGGAACTCAACTGCAGGCGCAAGCGTGATTGAAGAGTCAACCGCAGAAGTTGCCTGACAAGTCGCGGACTAATAGCGCTGTCTCGCGCTCCACTTTTGTGCTCTGTGGCAAGCTCATCGGGAAATTTATCGGATGAGCTTGGCGCGCTCGCCGTGTAGCGCTGTCTCGCGCTCCATACATACATACAGACACAAGCCATGCGTGTGAAATCATGATAGTCATGCGCACGCATCGTTTGCAGGTCTAGGACGGAACACGCTCAAGGCGCTCGATGGGTAAGAATACGGAGGAATCACGCTTCCATTGCCTATCGATCTGATACGATAATCTACGGCCGATGTAGGAAAACTGTCACCTGGTTGAAAGTATAGACTTGCTTTCGGGAAGAGTCTACTTGTTACTTCGCTTTAGTTTGTCTTGGCAAAGCAAAAACTATCTAACGCGACGCAGCATGTGTTTTTAATGTACAGCCGAAAGCGGCAAGTGTGATAGTGACCCTGACTAACACATGATTGATAATGACCCGTATTATGGCTCGCACCTGGGCGTGATCCCCAATTTGACCATTTAAACAGATTACGAATTGCACAGCCTTTGTTTTAAGACTTGGTCATAGTTGGTCTAAGTCTCCCGAACCTTCTGGGATCTAAACGCCTTCGGCCTTCGACACTTAGCCCGCATGTCAAGCCATCCATGTAGTTTCTTTCCGCCAATTTCGCACAAGCTAAGCATCTACCTGCATACTGGCTGTGTTGACCCGGGCTGTTCAATTGTGAAAAGTCCAAGCTGAGCTATAAACAAACACGTTACGAATAGTATGATTCCTGCTTGAACATTCTGAACGTGATATCTGACAACCTCACCAATCAGCGTTGTAGGGAAACAAGGCAAGTTCGAGGGTGCGGCGTAAACCTTTGTTCGCTAGAAAGTCAAGCGACCGTGAAAGTCGTGAAATCGAGACCGCGTCTTGTTGCACGACTATTTTACAACATCAGATACGGGGGAACCATAAACAAATGCTCGTAGCCTAGAAGCCTCGGAATTAAGCGCGTGAACTACACACATGGAATACAAGCCCATCCTCCTCTAAAACAAGGTGACTCTCTGACAGCAAGCACGTCTGCTACATGACTCTCTGACAGCAAACTCGTCTGCTGCGTAACTCCCTGACAGCAAGCGTCTGCTACATAACTCTCTGACAGCAAGCGCGTCTACTAAGCAAACGCGTCTGCCACATAAGTCTTTGCAGCAATCGCGTTTGCTAGATTACTCTCTGACAGCCAATGCGTCTGCTACATAAGTCTTTGATAGCAAACGCGTCTGCCACACAACTCTCTGACAGCAATCGCGTGTGCTACATGTCTCTCTGCCAGCAAACGCGTCTGCTAAGCTGCCTACTAACCCGAGAGATTTTCTTTGCGCAACAAACTTGTTTGTGCCACTTTGTTATGTGACTCCTAGACCGAGTGCCCTGTACTGCCCAAAAAAATCCTGACGCAAGCGCGAAGCAACTATCAAACATGCGTTCGAAAGAATTGTTGTTAGGCCTATCCGTCCTGTGCCTAAGAAAAGCGGCGTACTCAAAGATCCTTCTAGGAATTGTTGTCAGGCCTATCCGTTCTACGCTTAAGAAAGGCGGCGTACTCAAAAATCTTTCGAGGAATTGTTGTTAGGCCTATCCGTCCCTATGCCTAAGAAAGGCGGCGTGCTGAAAGATCTTTCGAGCAATTGTCATTAGGCCTATCCGTCCTATGCCTAAGAAGCCGGCGTACTCAAAGACCTTTCCAGGAAATGTTGTTCGGCCTATCCGTCCTACGCCTAAGAAAGGCGGCGTACTCAAAGACCTTTCGAGGAACTGTTGTTAGGCCAATCCGTCCTATGGAACTGTTGTTAGGCCTATCCGTCCTATGCCTAAGAAAGGCGGCGTACTCAAAGATCTTTCGAGGAATTGTTGTTAGGCCTATCCGTCCTATGCCTAAGAAAGGCGGCGTACTGAAAGATCTTTCGAGGAATTGTTGTTAGGCCTATCCGTCCTATGCCTAAGAAAGGCGGCGTGCTCGAAGATGTTTCGAGGACTTGTTGTTAGGCCTATCCGTCCTATGCCTAAGAAAGGCGGCGTACTGAAAGATCTTTCGAGGAACTGTTGTTAGGCCTATCCGTCCTATGCCTAAGAAAGGCGGCGTACTCAAAGATCTGTTCGAGGAATTGTTGTTAGGCCTATCCGTCCTATGCCAAAGAAAGGCGGCGTACCCAATGATCTTTCGAGGAGTTGTTGTTAGGCCTATCCGTCCTACGCCTAAGAAAGGCGGCGTACAAAAAGATCCTTCTAGGAATTGTTGTCAGGCCTATCCGTTCCTATGCCTAAGAAAGGCGGCGTGTTCAAAGATCTTTCGAGGAACTGTTGTTAGGCCTATCCGTCCTATGCCTAAGAAAGGCGGCGTACTCAAAGATCTTTCGAGGAACTGTTGTTAGGCCTATCCGTCCTATGCCTAAGAAAGGCGGCGTACTCGAAGATCTTTCGAGGACTTGTTGTTAGGCCTATCCGTCCTATGCCTAAGAAAGGCGGCGTGCTCAAAGAACTTTCGAGGAACTGTTGTTAGGCCTATCCGTCCTATGCCTAAGAAAGGCGGCGTACTCAAAGATCTGTTCGAGGACTTGTTGTTAGGCCTATCCGTCCTATGCCAAAGAAAGGCGGCGTACCCAATGATCTTTCGAGGAGTTGTTGTTAGGCCTATCCGTCCTACGCCTAAGAAAGGCGGCGTACTCAAAGATCCTTCTAGGAATTGTTGTCAGGCCTATCCGTCCCTACGCCTAAGAAAGGCGGCGTGTTCAAAGATCTTTCGAGGAACTGTTGTCAGGCCTATCCGTCCTATGCCTAGGAAAGGCGGCGTACTCGAAGATCTTTCGAGGACTTGTTGTTAGGCCTATCCGTCCTATGCCTAAGAAAGGCGGCGTACTCGAAGATCTTTCGAGGACTTGTTGTTAGGCCTATCCGTCCTATGGCTAAGAAATGCGGCGTACTCAAAGAACTTTCGAGGAACTGTTGTTAGGCCTATCCGTCCTATGCCTAAGAAAGGCGGCGTACCCAATGATCTTTCGAGGAATTGTTGTTAGGCCTATCCGTCCTACGCCTAAGAAAGGCGGCGTACTCAAAGATCTTTCGAGGAATTGTTGTTAGGCCTATCCATCCTATGCCTAAGAAAGGCGGCGTACTCAAAGATATTTCAAACAATTGTTGTTGGGCCTATCCGTCCTATGCCTAAGAAAGGCGGCGTACTAAAAGATCTTTCGAGGAATTGTTGCTAGCCCTATCCGTCCTATGCCCAAGAAAGGCGGCGTGCTCGAAGATCTTTCGAGGAATTGTTGTTAGGCCTTTCCGTCCTACGCCTAAGAAAGGCGGCGTACTCAAAGATCTTTCGAGGACTTGTTGTTAGGCCTATCCGTCCTACGCAAAAGAAAGGCGGCGTACTCAAAGAATTTTCGGGGAATTGTTGTTAGGCCTATCCGTCCTATGCCTAAGACAGGCGGCGCACCCAAAGGTCTTTCGAGGAATTGTTGTTAGGCCTATCCGTCCTATGCCTAAGAAAGGCGGCATACTCAAAGATCTTTCGAGGAATTGTTGTTAGGCCTATGTCGCTAAAGTTCTCTGTCCCTCGCGGTTCTCAACGGTCGCTTTCTCCATGTCTTTGAAAGTCTATTTTGTCTGTGTGTGTGTAAGTTTGGTTGTCCGTTACTGTTTTTGTTATTGTATTGTTGGCTGTTGCGTCGTTGCTCGTGTTGTGTTTGTGTTGTTTGTGTTGTTTGTTGTTAGTTTGTTGCTTGTTGTTGTTTGTTGGTTACTATTTTTTGGCTGTTAATCATTCATTTTCAAAGCTATCACTGGTAGCACATAATTGTGTGCCGTAGCTGGTTAAAATTGATATATTTTTTCAATTTCTGTTAATTTCTGTTGGATTTTGTCGGATTTTGTCGGTTTTTGTCGGTTTCTGTCGGTTTCTGTGGGTTTCTGTCGGTTTCTGTCGGTTTCTGTCGGTTTTTTTCTGGGGGGCCTTACGATCTGTTCACCTACGGTCTGTTCCCCGAAACTGTTTTAAGGATTTTGAAATGCCGCATGATATGTATCGCCCCACTGGAAGTGCGTGACTCTCTGGCAAGAAGCTTTGTTTGATGTGAAAGAAACGCTTAGCTGTGTAAACATCTGTGCATGTAAAGAAAACACATACCTTGAGATCATTCGGTCGACATTCAAACTTGCACTGACTTGTTGAGACAGGAAGAACGGGCTGGCTGTGTCCACACCGCCTTTCTACACGACTTAGTTCGACCTCGGAATCGCGAAAACAAAGCACTGGGAACAAGCACTTGACACTCAAACGCCGAGGGCACCTACAATTCCTTCAAGCTGCACTCCAGCTCGAATCCTGGCAGTGCATTCGATGAAAAGTCTAACAGCATGTGCTCTGCAAGCCCAGCCGCATGGCAAGCACTTGCTTCTCGGCTTGACCACCTGGCAGCTGAAACGTCCGAGCAAATCTCTGAGGGCGTGCGCCTTCCCCCGAGCGACCATACGCATCGATAAGGGACGTGTAGGTCATTGAGCACGGCTTCAGCTTTGCATCGAGGCCAGATTGAAAGCACTGAGAGGCCTTGGCGGCATCGCTGGCCTTGGCGCAGGCTTCCAAGAGATTTCCCCATTGGCGACGGCTGAAGCACGTCGCAGCAAGCGCAGACTGGCGCAGGTCCCCCACGTGGGCCCAACCAGCGAGGGACGCGCCCTGCGCCGCCAGCTCTGGTCCCCGGGCCCCCACGTCACGTGAGCCACTTGGGCCGCGTAAGCCGCGTGAGCCACGTGTCACCAAGAGCATGCGCGCGAGCCAGGCGTCAGCGCGGCGGGGGTCGTTGCTACGGGCGAAGGCGTCCACGAGGCTCACCAACTGCGTGCCGTCCACGGCGAAGCCGACGCGCAGCGCAGCCCAAAGCCACAGCTCCGCTCGCCGCGCCTCGTTGGCCTTGGCGGCGCACTTCAGGAGCTTCCCATAGGTCCGGCCACTCGCGACCACCTGCTCCCGCTCCATTCGCAGGTGCCAAGCTTCTGCGCCCACCAGATCCCCAGCGTTGGCATATGCTTTCAAAACCAAGTTGAAGAAAAATCGTTTCTTCGAAAGCTTGAGCAAAGGCTCGATCAGCTCCTTGACTCTTGCAACATCTCCGCATTCCGCGAAGCGATTTGCCGCTTCCAGCACTGGATCCTGCGCCGACTTTGCCGGCAACCTGGCAAGAATCGTGGCGCCTCGCATAATCTTCCCATGGCAATCTCAAGTCTAGCTGCAAGCTGCTACACAGCTAGAAGGCGAGTGGTGCGTAAGTAGTGCTGTTTGGACGGGCTGCTTGACATGCCTAATGCATTTGCGGGGTTGGATCAAGACTTGGTCGGGGAATGTTGAGCCAAATTGAAATTGCAACCGCGATCCCTGATTTAGAGGATTCCTCCCAATGAAGCACGTAGGGCAATACTCATGCTGAGGGGCTCCCGCAATGTGCTCAGCGCTCAGCTTTGCGCGGAGAGTTTGGGAGCAAGCCCCCTGGTTGACTTGAGCCCCTAGTCTTCGTGGGGAGAATTCATGCCCCCCCAAACCAGTGCATCAATCTCAGCGCAAACCGCAGCCGACCGAATTGCATTTTCGTTCAGGTTGCCTTCAACCCGTGACACAACCGACAAATGTCGGCATGCTCTCCAGGCAAGCTGAGCCAGTGCCCGGCAATCGTGCCGTACTTCAGGTCTGCTACGGTGACGGTACCAGCAGCAAATCGCTGCAGCTGCCTGTCACGCGCCTTCCGTTGCAGACTGCGGTAGTAGGCATTGGCCTGTCGCTTTGCAGAGGTCGACATCCGTTCAGAATTCTCGGAATGCCTCTGCTGCCGGCGCTTCGGCTTCGGGTTCTCCGGACTCAGCCTCGCGCAGGCAGAACGGAAACTGCAACTGCAATGACTGCAATGACTGCAATGAGCTTCCAAGACACCGATTCCGGTGAAGCTGGAGCCAAAGCCGGGACCTGATTCATAGAAATCCTCTCTGACGCATGCGACAAAAAATCCGCACCTCTTTCCCGCTCAGCCTTTGCCTTTTTGAGCCTCAGGTTGCTAAAGGCAAAGGCATTCTTTGGCAGCCTTGGGACACACTTTTTTCAGGAAGCTCGGCCAATTGCACCGCAAAGAAAGCAGAGTTCAATCATGAAACTGCTACATATTCGGTCCCCAGGGCCGGGAGGCGGTCGGACCCCTTCAGAAGCTCTTCGGGATCCTCCAAAACCCCATCCCCACTTCGAAATTGGTCCGTCCTACGCCCCCTGCGGATGTAAATACGGGGGCCCACAAGGGCCGGCAATACACCTCGTAGGTCCTCCAAGTGGATTTCTCCGATGCAAGAGGCACAACAATGCAAGAAGTAAATGACAAAAATACGAAAACAAGCTTGGCGAAATATATCCTGTCCACTTCTCTTGCGCCTTACGCTGTGTTTTGACGCTGCTACGCGTGAAGTACGCCTCATGTTGCGCATGATGCTGCGCAGGCATGATGTTGCACACGATGCTGCGCGTGACGTTGCGCATAACGCCGCGCCTCTCTCACCCAACCTTTCATGTCCCTTTCTCTTGTCAGCCTCTCTTGTCCATATCTGCGTGCAGTTGGCTGTGCAAGAAGGCTGGCGGTTTTAGTTGCAGAAGTGCCCTTGGCAAACTACTTTTGCGCAATTTTCGAGCTGGAGATGCGAGAGCGCGCTTTCCGAATCGCGCTGAAAAATTGAAGTTGCGATGTTCGAGCTGGAGCTGCGAGAGCGCGCTTCGCACGCTACCTTTGCGCGAAAACACTTACGGCCGGGGCTGGAGCTGCTGCGGGAACTTCGAGCACCACTTTTTGCAATTCAAGGCTGCGATTTCGCAGCTGCTCTTCACGTACCTTTGCACGTGAAAACTTGCAAATCTTCAGCCGGAGCTGCGGGAGCGCACTTCGCGTGCTACTTTTGTACTTACAATTTGCGATTTCGCAGCCGCGCCTCTGGACATGCTCTTCACGTACTACTTCGGTACTGCGATTCGTCAGCCGGAGCTGCGGGAGCGCGCTCTGCACACTACTTTTGTACTTATAAATTGTGAGTTTCGTGCCGGAGCTGCGGAAGCGCACTGCGCGTACTACTTACGCTTAGAAGTTGCGATATTGCAGCCAGAGCTCTGGGTTTGCTCTTCGCGCGCTACTTTCGTACTAAAAAATTGCGATTCTCAAGCCGGTGCGGTCGACCAGGCAGGTGGAACCCGAGACAACGCGCCATCGTGAGAGCAGACGCGTACAGACAACTTCCAAACACCGATTCGCAAGCAAGGAAACAGAAAAACCGAACGGCGCCACAGCAAGAGCGCTTGGACAAGCAGGATCTCCGCAGAGGGTTCGCCGAGAGCAAGACGCATTCGCGCGGCGCCACAGCGAGAGCGCCTCGACAAGCAGGATCTCCGCACAGGGTTCGCCGAGAGCAAGACGCATTCGCACGGCGCCACAGCGAGAGCGCTTCGACACGCAGGATGGTTTGCCGAGAGCAAGACGCATTTGCATGGCGCCACAGCGAGAGAGCTTCGACACGCAGGATCTCGGCAGAGGGTTCGCCGAGGGCAAGACGAATTCGCACGGCGCCACAGCGAGCCCTACTACACGCAGGATCTACGCAAAGGGGGCACGTTCGTCTCGCAACGCTTGCAAACGAGGGAAACGCTGCGCCTGCCACGAAATTCACAGACCCGGCTTATGAAAAATGCTGCGCCTGCCACGCGTCCTATAGCACCAGCTCAAAACATACTGCGCCCGCCACGAAAACCGCACGGCATCACAGAATGCTGCGCTGGCCATGGAATTCCGCGGTAACACGCAAATCCGAAGATCGGCGTGGCGCCACAGCGAGAGCGCAGTTTTGAAGATAGGTCCGTTTCGTTCGAAGCACTCGCCCGCAAGACAAGTTTTTGCGACAACTGCCATGGTTTTAGAGCTCCAATTGTCCCATGACCCGACGAGAAGATGTCACCGCGCGGCGGCCCCGCTCTTGAAAAAAGCGTTTGGCACGAGGCTTCCTGAAAAAACACATACTGTCGTCGAAGCGGTTTCATCAAAACATCACCGCGCGAACCTCCCAACTGTGGCCCCTACCGGCCAACAAAAAGGAACGGCAGCACAGCTAGACGCACGTGCCAGCACGAACCTCAACTTTGACTGTCGCACCGAAGACAACTCTACGCACAGGGCCGGCCATTTGAGCGCGAACCTTGGTCTAAACCGGCCTTAACTCTTACCGTAAGTGTAAACACTATTTGGGGAAAACGACTTTTAGAAATAAGAAAAAAGAACGTCGTATACCGAAAAAGTCGGAGCGATTGCCGACATATCAAACTGGACGCCATCAGACGAAGAGGATGATGATAGTGACAGGTATAGAAAGGAGTTAGAAGAAGAGTTGTACAAAATAAAGGGTTTCATCAAAAGACACCCTTTGCCACCAGTTGATGAAAACGAAGAATTCTGGCAAGATGTTAACAACAGGTTAGAGACAACAGTGGATTGAACTTGATGACAATATGTGTTAAGTTTGCAATCATTAATGAAATGTATGAAAACCTAATAGGCGAAGACCTTTTTTGAGTGTGGTAAAAAGTGAAACCGAGATGGAGAGTTTGAAGCAGTGACTATTAACTACTATATCTTATCAGGAGCGATACGGAAACTAAACAAAGAAGACAGTCTAGTAGATGGACAGATGCGAATTATTGAATACTGGTGGGATGGAATAGGAAGATGGAAAGCATGAGTGAGTTAGTTTATTCATACTATTCAATCATAATATGATTAGGCTAAGAGATTTAAATTCAACCTGAAAACCAGACCAGCCGACCAGCAACCCCAGCCCGAAAACTACTTAAACAAAAATATCGTATATAGTTAAGAGAAACAATGAGTGAGTGTAAAATGTCTGAGACTAATCTTAAGGTTGAGAAATGGACTAACATACCTGAGGGTTTAGTTTCAATTATCGCTTCTTACAATATTGGTTGCGAAAGGTGGCGAAGACTGAAACAGTGTGATGCACTAAGGGTCTTACAAAGGAAATGGAAACAGTCTGTTTACATTGACCGAGTGGGAGAAAGTAGATATTGTGCTTTGACTAACAATAAATGTTTGAAAGGTGATGAAGCACTTTCATATGCGTTGAAACCACCAAATAATTATCAAGACTAACGAAGTATGATGATGAGATAATGGTTGGAATAGCAGTTAGCGCAAAAACTATTTTTAAGAATAATAGTTGCATCACTCGTTATTAATCATCAAATCAACATAATAAGACAACAAGTAGAGCGTTATTACAGTTTCATAGTGAAAAATAGTTGAAGAAATACAACAGAATATGAGCAAACAATAAATCATTACCATAGAACAACAGTTGAAACTTATATAGAACCGAAGCGTTGATTTCGTGGTCTATTCATATTGTGTCATAATGATATGATTAAAATAAACTTTTATACCAGTCGAGCCGCAGGCGCTGCGCGATCGGCTGGGCCGAGGCGGGCAAAGCGCAGCGTGTACAGTTACTTCCGATGCTGCCAATCATTTCACGAATCGAAGAAATCTACAGGTTTGGATTCCGATGCTTCTCTGGGCCGTTGAGAAGTGGCTTGCCCAAAACTTTCGGGATGGCATTCCAAGTGAAGATCTGAAGATTGTTGTGTTTGTTACTCTCGGAAGCGCACAGCGCGTAGCACGCGGCTAGTGCGGTTGAGCAGCTTGCCGCCCTTCCTGTGTCCAACGTGTCCAACGTGTCCAACGTCTCCTGGCAAATGGAAAGGCTCCTAAGGCAACTGTTCGGCGGTGGCGAGACCATAGGGTCCTCCTGGTGACGGCGGGCGCCATGTTCCAGCGCATCCTTTCGAACGAGGAAAGTGGCATGTGCAGAAAGCATGCAGAATGCTTTCGTCGCTCCTGCAAGGCTTCCACTCGGCCGGCTTGCCTTGCCAGCTGCATGGCTTTTTTGCTCATGCCTCGCAAATGCCAAGTTTCAAAAGTCAATCTATCTCAAGGCGTTGCTATAGCTAGGCCCAACGCTCTCTGCAATTGGCTCATCAGGAGGAAGTGGCTCGGACTTGGGAAGCTGCCCTTGCGTCTTCACCTTCCGAGAGCGATCCGAGCCTTCCGACTTCAACGCTTCCGGGCCCAAAGGGCCCCGCGCCTTGCCACACTTGTTCCCGTGAGCTGGGCCCTCGCCTCGAACAAAGGCGGCATGGCAACCTGGGCGAAACGTTTCTTGCCGTGTCACCGCAATCCGCTCGATCCACTCCCGCTCTTGTGAGTTTTTTCTCTTTTTTAATTAAAAAAAAAGGGGCCCAAAAAAGACATCACGAAACGATGAAACGATCGCCGTGACACGCTTGCAGCAGAAACCGCCAAAGGTGGCGTCTGTCAGCTTGAAGCTGCATTGCGGGTGGGCGCACAACATGCGTAAGCTACATTCATGTTGCATCACGTTAAAACGTTCACTCCGTGTTCAAAAGTTGTGGGCTAATCTTCTGGAAACGGCTTGAGCCCATGCCTTCAGACATGGACATTGTGCGCATCTCTTTGCATCTGCTTGAGCCCCGGTGCACATACATGACTGGCATCGCAAAACACGCCAAGCCAAGCCGTTGCTAACCAGCATCCTAAACACACATGCAGTCTTGGTAAGATGGATGAAAGCTGGAAACCAACAACAGCGTGGCGCATGGTTGCTAAAGCTGCCTCAACCAAAAGCAGCCCACAATTATTCAACCTATTGCCAATCGTTCCCGTTCCCTAGCGCGCCTAGTTTGGTTTGGAGGTAATCAGAATGGAAGGAGCGGTTGGTTCGGCAATGCAGCTGACCGCCGGAGTGCACAAAGCTGGGGTTGCGTAATTTCCATGAAGCGACTTGGTCTGAAAGCAGCGGGTGACGGGTAAAGGGAGCCAGAACTCCTTCGAGACAACAACAAACCACCAGGGTGTTTCCTCGGCATCTTCATGCCTCTGCCATTGAACCCGGCGATGATTCCGCCAAAATGCCGCCGGGAAGACTGCGGAGACCACTTGACAGTGGCATTCCAGTTCGAACATCGATGATCCCACTACTCTGCTAAACATCCGCCAATTGTCCGCCGGCATGTCTTCTAAAGGTACCTGTAGTACAAGAAGAGCCTCGAGGCTAAATTTCCTTCAATTTGAAAAGTGCCCAAGTATCAATATCAACGGCTAAAAAACCATCATGAGCACTTTGAGCGAATGAAGTTTGACGGTTGTTGCAGTGGTTTTGATGAAGTGGGATTTGATGAAGCTTTGAGGAACAGCGAGGGCTAATTTCAAGTTGACACTCGTCGAAAAAGTACCCAGAAAATGAACCCGAGTTATGTTTTGGAGCTCAAAAAGCGCTTGGATTATCTAGAGCCCCTGGAAAGATTGCCCGGGAGACCTCTAGAGGTCGAATCCTGTCATTGCATTGCGAGCTCCCGTCTTCTCTCCGGTCTTGTTGCGAGTTCGGAACGGGTGCGCTCAATTGCGAGTGAGCGTTGCCCTCCCTGAAGCCCTTTTGGGATTTAGTAAAGCTTCACGAGAGCGGGTCGGGAAGCCGGGAAGTTCGGAAGCGGCACATCTGTGCCTCTTGGGTTTCGCAACACCTCCCAACGGCCATTTTGAGACACGTTTTGCCCATTAAAACGATTGCTCCAGCCTCAAGCCTAGACCGGGCTTGCGAAACCACACGGCCTTTTCATAGGGAATGTATTTTGCAAACTTGTATTTTTCACTATGTTGCCTCTTTGGTTGCCCATTGCCTCTTTGAGCTGACAGTGTTCTGGGCCCATGGCTTTGCCTCACCGAATTCTCTCCGTTGAGCGATCAGTAAGGTGCCTCAGTCGCCCGCTTTCCTCAAAAAGCTCAGGGCTGCAAAGGCTGCAAAGGCTGCAAAGGCTGCAAAGGCTGCAAAGGCTGCAAAGGCTGCAAAGGCTGCAAAGGCTGCAGACAAGATGCCATTGACGAAGGCACCGGCCTTGCATTCAGAGCATTGTTCGATGCTTACGTAGAGATCTGGGCAGCGTGCCCAAAAGGAGCGTGGCCCGGACCCTCAATCGACGTCGGAAGGTCTCTCCGGTCTCTTCGGTCTCTCCGGTCTCTCCCCTCAGTGCGGGACACCCGAGATGCCCTTTGCCATCTGAGTGAAACAAGCCGAAAGGTCGAAAGTGACAAGAAAAAAAATGATTAGACTAAAAACCGAAGCGAAATGTCTGAGGTGCTTGCTCCTGCTGCTCCTGTTGCTCCTGGCCCAGGCCTTAGACTCTGAGATGAGCGATGGAGCTACGGGATCTACGGGGCGCTTAGGTGTGGGCTGGCCGGCAGCCAGCGGTCGGTACGACCTGTCCGAAAATATGTTCGGACAGGTCGGAACAAATCGGAACAAGTAAACAGCGAGAGACGAACCGACTCCGAACGGAAGCAACGCATGTGACAAAACCGCGACAAAACCGACGTTGCGGACGGTGTGTTGAGGCGGCGGAGCTCTTCGTGAAGAGCATCGATGTAAGCCGCTTGCCTGGAGCCATAGACTTCTCGACTTTCTCCTTTCTCTCTCTCTTTCTTTTCCGTTCTTTTCCCTCTGCTTCTCTCTGCTTGGCTTCTTTCTCTCTCTCTCTCTCTCTCTCCTCTTTTTCTTCTCTCCCAAGTCTCTCCAAGGAGCTGTTTGTGGGAGGCAATCAGCGCCTAGCCCAAAGGCCAGTCAAGTCCTATGCTTTCGCTCAAGGCATGCCTTCAAGTCCGGCCCAGCTTGGGTCTTCACATCCTGCGAAGGACAAAGCAGAACCAAACAGGCCAACCACCCAAACAGAATGTGCCAGCTGAGCTCCTCTCCCACAAAGATGCCGAAGGTCGACCTGGACCCTCTCTGCACCTACGCGACAGCCCGAGTCGCGAGTCGCCCGAGCAACGCAGCCACGCAGCCACGCAGCCACGCAGCCACGCAGCCACGCCTCGAAGGAAGAGCCAATGACAGACAGGCACACTTTAGGCCTCGGTGCAGTGCAGGTGCAGTGTCCCAGCTTTGGGTCTATCTCTGTGGCTGATAGATGTCGTTCACGGAATCCGAATAAGCCTGATCAAGGGGCATTGGGAAGGACAGAGAGGTATGCAGAGCCTTTGCTCGACTTTGAGCCTGTTCGAAGTGCGTGACCAAGGACTGCAGGTCGCCGGCAGGCATGCGGGGGTCCGTCCTGGGAAGTATTCTTTCGCTTTTGCTCGCTTGGGCGCTGAGGGCTGGACTTTGTGTCCAAATTAAACCACTGCTGGAAGATGCCTCGCATGCAAATGTGCGACATATTACAATATGATATGAATTGCCAAAGCTCCATTCCGTCCCTTTCCGTCCCTTTCCGTCCCTTTCCGTCCATTTCCCCTTGCCTTGCTCCCCGCCTGAGCTGTAGCGCTCTGCCAGACGCTCCATCGGGATGCGGAGCACCTCGAGCGAGAACAGCATTAGAGGACGATTTGAGATTTTTTTGAATTTGTGGACGCGAACCAGCTCTGGCTCATGGCTCCCGGCCCCAAGACACCGTGCCGTCTCCGGAGTGAAGACCTCTCGCGACAGGTCGGCATGGCACACCCGAGCGCCAAGCTCGGCCCCGCCGCACAGGGCCCGGGCAGGCTCTGGACACTCATAAACGATCATTGTCAAGACCTCAAGCAAACGTCGACCATTTGCAGACGTTCTTTTTCTCATTTGCTCGTCAGAAAACATCGCATAGGGCGCGGGCAGTGGTTATGCCCACTTCTACACTCAGGGTCTGAGAACGCCCGATCACCTTTGTAGAAGCACCACCACTGCTCACGTTGCAGAAGTAGAACATATCCTAGGCCGTGCTCTCAATTCTGTTCGGAGAAAAGCGGACGGGCCTGGGACTTCGCATTGTGCACATCAACCTAGAAGGTTGCACTATTTGCACTTGAGGCTTTCCACTGCTCTCTAGCATCTGGCCATTGTGACGAGCACTGGTATGGTGTCCGTGGCAAGCGCACTTCCCATCCTGACCATGCACACGCAAAGCAGAATGCAACACATGAAGCACACAGCCACACAGCATACAAATTGCTCAACGCAAAGAGAGGCAAAACCACCGCTGCACTTGCGGCCCACGCCTGTGCTGCCGCTCACGTGGCCGCGAGGCCGCAAGCGCAAGCTCCGTCACAGCTGAGCCAATATAACAGGAAGGATGCTAACGCGGCAAACTGAAACGATCGAAATAAAGCAGAACCAGCGAGCAAATGAGCTGATTCGAGGCATCAAATGCGAAGGTGCTGCAGCCCTTTCGCCCTTTTCTAGCACATTGGTCTGTCACGGATTTGGTGCTATTGGAGACTGCCCACCCATGCGTGGCAAGTGCCGTGATCCCACTTTGGCAAATCCGCTTGAATTAAGTGAACTATCTGACGGTGCTTGGTCCCGTAAGCAACCCTTTAGTGACGTGCGCCTGGTGACAGCCGTGTGCCCTTCTTTGCTTCGACTTTTCGACTTTCGGCTGTGTGCAGCTCTGACGACTTAGGCGACGCAAAAGACTCACGTGCGATCCGTGACGTCGGGTAGAAGCTTTCGGACCTAGCCGTGATTCTCCGAAACTCGGGCTCGGCGTTTTGCTCGTCCCTCTGCCGGACCCTGCCCAATAGCAAAATGGCTTTGTCAAAGATTCTGTGCCCTTCCTCTCGCTGCACCTCGCAACTCACAGTGAAGGCCTGAGCGAAGTTTTGCAAGAACCGAAAAAGTTAAACTCCGATGCGGAGGCCTGATTACTGCATCAGGGAAGTCAACCAAATGCGCAGTCCGTGCAGTCCGGGCCCATTTTTCCTCGTGTTTCTTGCTATGTCGCACTGGACGCTTCCTTTTGAGACGTCTCGAGACCCGCAAGCCAGAAGCTCGCGCAGAGCGTCATGCCCCGGGCGCCGGAGCCCCCGGCGGAGCCCCCGGAGCCCCCGGAGCCCCCGGCGGAGCCCCCGGGGTTGGAGCAGGTCCTCGACACGAGAAGTCGCCTTCCGAGAAACAAAAATCCGAGCGTCCTGGACCACTTGAAGGACTTGGCGCTTTGCCTACATTTCAGATTCACTTTGCTATTTGCCCATTGCCCCTAAGCGCGTGAGGGCCTGGAAGCTGAGGCAAGTCTTGCGGCTGCGGCTGTTTCCGAAATGGGTACTCCACCTGACCCATTGACATGGATCTCGACGGCCCGAACTGGCTCCTGCCTTGGCCCAGTCTTTGTCCTGGCCACGCATGGCCTCGCGCGAATCACCAAGTCCCATTCTCTCGTGACATCTGACGAATCTGAGCTGGCGACTGCATAGGTCTCCTCATCATAGCCACGAAGTACGTCTTTCCGCCAGCCACGCTCGCGAGCCTAGACTCACTCTATATCCAACTGTCCAACACCGGGTCGCTCAAAGCTTGGTGCCTCTCGCTCAGCAAGCGTCGTCTCCATGTTGCCGTAGTCGCCTTTGCTGCATCAATGCCCGAAAGAGCGCAAAGAAAGAGCGCCTTCACCAGGGGGAACAAAAATGCCGAGAACAAATCCACCAACCTGAGAACAAAATGTCTATGAACGTCCCACTTGAAATGAGCTCCTCACCATTGCCACGCCAACGATGGCAAACAGGCTGATGACGGGAGCCATCATAATCGCTTGGAACCTCGAGAGAACGCACCCAGCCGCTTCAGTGCCCTATTGCTGCAAGGCGGGCCCTGCCCCACCATCCGCAGCGTATGCAGGAAGTGCACCGAGAGCCTGAAGTGGACGGTATTGACATGTGATCTGGCGAATCCCATGAGGTCACAGCTGGCAAGGCTAAAGCCGGCAGAGCTGGCAGAACTGGGCTACCACGAGCTGGAACAAAGCCATCTGACTCCTCGCAGGAATCCCTCGAGAGCCGAGCAACCGAGCGACTGAGCGATGCACCGTGAACACCGTCAGCGCGCCGGCAACCTGATTGCTTCCCATTCCCATGCGAAAAGAAGGGGAAACGTGCGCGGGCCGATGGCGCTGCTCAGGGCCCCGCCAGCCATGCCGCGCGAACCTGCGGCAAAAGAAGGAACGGAGCGGAAAGTCAAAGGGTCGAATGAGCTCACCGCGGGTCGACTGCGGAGCTTTCCCATGGCGCTTTGCTTTGAGCCGGCAAAGCAGCAAATCGGCATGATGCGAAAAACGTTCAGCGGTGCCAAGTGCTAAGTGCTCCACCCTTGTCCACAGAATCACGGTCAGGTTGAACCCTCTCCTCCAAGCCAAGATCATCTATGCACACACCAGGGTTCGATCTGAGTAACCATCTGCACTGAATGAGTCTGGTAGCATCCGCATGCTGAACGCATGCAGGCACGTATCAGCACGAGAATTTGGACCATGCGTCCCGTTGCCAAATGATGGTGAGGCGCAGACCAAGGCGAGCACGCACTTCTCTCTGCCTTCAAATCAGGTTCGATGCCTTCAACACTTGAAATGTTTGATCGTGTTTGATCGTGTTTGATCGTGTTTGCCCGCGAGGCTCTTTTTGGCGAATATCGAGGCCTTTCTGGGTCGCCCAAGCTGGAAACTTGCGAGTGAAAGTCATTCCTGTTTCGTCGTGACCGCGTTCGGTTGGATGTTGCGAGCTAAGCATGACCTTGTTTGGCGTCTCTGCTTAACTTTGGAGTTTTGGGACATAGATAGTTCACAGCGGCATGTGCTGTTCGGTTTGAGAAGCAAATGTTTTGTTTTCTCATGACATCCCACACCTACACTGTGCAACTTCACGCACTTCGCACTGGAGTCTTGTGCTTTTTCACGGGGGAAGAGCCCCGGAAAACCACAACAAGCGGAGTCTGGGAACGCAGCCAAGGGAAAGCATGTCAGCTTGACAGAAACAGGGAAACGCACCTTGTTCACGAACACAGTGTCTAGCTTCACAGCCCGGCTCAGCAAAAGGAGTCAGTGACAGGGCTTTGTTCACAGCCTGGAAAAGTGAAGCTGCCACATCTGCCGTTGGTGTTGCCCACATTGACAAAAAATGTTTTGTATGTCTTCGACATTTGTATACCTTGCAAAAAATCCTACAATTCCTGAAAGATATGTGTTGTAGAACCTTCCAGTCTTCAATACTGAGAAATTGTCAACGACTCTCTCTGCTGGAACTGGCAGTTCATCACACAGGCAGTGCCTGGATAGTATGCTGCGAAGAAGAAACGCAACATCGCGGCCTGAAGTTAACGTTTTCCATGCCCATGCCAGTTCTCAATTCTGTAGCCTTTGCTCAAGCTGCTCAAAACGGCTCCCCGTTACACAAGAAGAACAGCATGTCGGCCCGGCACCCGAAAGCTTTGGCTGGAAGCGTTGAAAGGCTTGGCGAATCGTTTTACTTGCTCCACCAAAGCTTTCAACCTTTCGTGCTTTCATTGTTTGGTCCTCGGTTCAGCCGTGACCCAAGGAGCTCTTCAGACCTCCACAAGGCTGTACACGAGAGCTCCTGAGTCGACCCTGATTGGTGCCAAATGGTAAGTGCATAAGTGACCAAGTGTTTTTGCTTTTCTTGAATACGACCGCGCCTGTCAGTCAAGCGCCAAGCGAGCGCCATCTGCGCCCCCTTGCAAGGCAAAAAGCGGCTTGTGCAACGCGGTCTGAGCCAGGCGGCTGCCGAAAGGATGCGGCCACTTTTCTCCCGACGCGCGAGTGTCGCTAGAGTCAGCTCGGGGCGCAGCAGGCTGTTCCATTTGGCCATGGGTCAAAAGCCTGCACCCCCAGTAAACATCCCAATCCCCACTAAAATGGACTAAAATGGGTGGTGCACCTACCCCAAAATGGTACCACTGGTCTTGACCCACGGCCATTTGATCGCCCCATCCGACATGTGACGGTCTTAGGTGTCCATCATCGGATTGTGGGAGGCTCATAGAGCACGACATCGATCTGCCGCTCCTCCCGTGCAAAGTCTTGACAGGATCCCCGAACTGAGATGAACTGAGACTGGGTCGTACTCGTCCATGGCCTTCGGCCAGTAATAGTCGCTCAGCCTCCGGCGGCCAGTCTGCCAGTCTGCCAGTCTGCCAGTCTCTGTACGCGCTCCCTGAGCCCCGGCATGGCCGATCGCTGCATGGTGTGGAAGTCTTCCTTGCGCTTCAAATTCAACTCCACCGCTTGGAAGAGCATCTCCTGCGAGGCGCACAGCCCTGCGCACGCCCTGCGCACGCCCTGCGCACGCCCTGCGCACGGTGCCTTGAGCTTGTCGGAGCTGAGGGGCTGGACCTCAGCTCAGAAGCTCAGAAGCGGTGTGACGTTCGCACTGGGACATCGGCGAGGAAGCCGGTGGCAGATTGCACACCACTGGAGATGTCCTCTCTCCGACTCACTGACACACTCACCCCCGATTTCCCGACTTCCTTGACAGAATCAACCAAACCTCCCGTGGCATGGACTACTGGCAGGGTTCCGTACCTCAACTCGCAAAACTCAACAGTTGCAGCTTGCAGTTGCAGTGTTGCAGTCTTGCCGTGCTCAAATGTAAGCATCCGGCATCTGAGAATACATTTGAGGCAAACCGCAAGGTTCGTAGCGTGATGGCATCAGCAAAAGGTCGCAACCTGCCATCATCTGGTGCCTGCACGCTTGCATGCTGTCGATTGCCGTTGCGAATTGTGCGTTCTTTGAGGCCCGTGCTCCACCTTTGGGTCGAATCCTAAAGCAAGGCACAGGGCAAGGCACAGGGCGTACACGACGTGTCCATCTTGACTCAGGTCGGAACCCACGTAGCCGCACACTCGGCCCTTGTAGCTGGTTTCTGCCCAGCGCAAGGCTTCCTCGGAGTCTGGGGCGTCGCTCCCTCTCATTCTGTGAAAAGAGTCGGGGGAAAACAAATGAAAACAACAAAGAGCGCATGTGGCTTGTTGACACCCTTCCTTTTCTCAGCTTCCAACGGAGTACTGTTTCTCTCCGTTGCCTGTCAAAGCAGATCGCACGTTGCGAAGACTTCGCGAGGGGATGACCCATGAGGATGAGCTGCACGTGACCGGTCACGCCGTTGCCAGTGTCCTGCAGACACTCCAAACGGATGCAAAGCTTGACGCTCTGTGCTCTGGCTCTATTTCCGTCCTGCATGAGCCAAGAGATCACGCTCGCCAACACATCTATGCCCTTCTGCCTAGCAACGAACAACTTGGGCTGGACCTTGCACATCTCGAGGTCCGGGCCAAGTCAGGCGGCCGACGAAGCCAATCATGCACAACTCGGTCGTCAATTGTTCAGTGATGGCTTCATAGCTTACAAACTGAGGATGGTACATCAGGATTCACTTCAAGCCCCAATAGCTTCTGCAAGTGAGCCTCAAAACGATCTCGACGAACTCTGTCGACCCGAGTGGAGCCAGCCTTGTTTTCCGCCTTACCTTGCTCGAAGTTCTCCACTGAGAAATTCGCAGCCTCGGGCAAGTGAAATCTGCCGAACGGGCTTAGCGCTCGACACTCGCGTTGGAGACCCGAAGCTGCGGCAATGTCTGCATCCTCCAAGGGGTCCCAGCCTTGGGATTGGCCATCTGATTCTACTTTGTTTCTACTTAGTGGTTCATCTGGTCCAGTGGTCCAGTGCTGGTTCTTGGCATCCGCATTGTGTTCAGGCCCCAGCAGTCGTCGATGCCATTGAGAATGCCGGCCAGGCGAAGCGAAGCAGCTTTGGCAGACACAAAGTCCTAACAAGCGAGAGCGGAAGCGGAGAGGGTTGCGAATTGGGCTCCTGCAAGTTGAAGCCGCCCGCGGAAGTCTGAATCTCTTTGGAATAATTTGGCGACACGGTGATGACACGGTCTGCGCCTGAGAGCAACTAGCATCTGCCGAGAAATGATGAATGGGGCGTGCGTGAAACACGGGTCCTTAATTTACATTTGTGTCCTGGCTACGCCCAATACATTGTCTTTACATGTACCGGGAGCCTCTTGCTCAATCACCGCATGTCCCGAGCCCTGATGGTAGCCGTTCCATCAGTTTCAACAGATTGAGCAGTTTGCATCGTAATCATGAGGAAACTGTCGCAACACGCAGTCAAGCAGGCACCAAAAACTATCTCATGTCAAGAGCGTGATGCTTGCTGCAACGGGATTGCTCACCTTCACACTCTCACAGACTCACAGCCGCAGTTCATTACACAGAGCGAAGTTGGGGTACTTGTGAGAAGCCACCATCTTGAACAAGTTGGGCAACGGGCAACAAATGGCAACAACACCAAACGCAGCCAGAATAAATCAGCAATTCAAACATGCCTTGAACTATACGTACCGGCTCATCACAAGCAGAGATAAACCGAAACATGCTTGCAGGTTCGAATATAGAAATTTGACAATCATAACACGAGAAGAAAAACACAATCGGGAATGCTGCCATAAAGGCAAGCACTAGCCAAACAAATTCAAGCATGTCATGTCTTTGTCTCAGGCAACCGAGACTGTCATGCATTTCACAAGCGGCGACGCGTAGATCAGTATTGATTTTAGTGCTTTTGCTTGGTCGAGTCGTCAGTTGGCTGTTCGCATTTGCTCGCCGATTTCTGAGACTCGACGCGCGCTCGAGTGCTCGCTCGAGCTCTGAGCCTCCAAGCCTGTCGACGGGAAACAAACACATGTTAAAATGCTAAGTGAAAAGCACCACGTATTTCCCCCGGATCACTTGGCGCTGTAGCTTGGCTTTCACCGTGTGGATCAACCAAAGCGTGGGTCGAAATTGCCGGCTGCTCAGCGAACACTCCATGACCTTCGAGTTTGCCTTGCGCCTTCAACGGGTTGAATGCTCGCGACAGCCCTACTTACTGTGTACTTGCAAAGTGTAACACAGTGTAGGCGCGCTGCGTCCAATTGGATGCCTAAGCTGAGTGCGCGGCAAATCAGCGCGCCCTTTGAAAGGTTGATGCAATTTCCGAGGACCAGGTCGAAGGCCGCCTGCGCATGGCCCTCCCTATGCCCGGTTCACTCATTCACTCGAGAAATCACCTTTCAAACGTCGTGAAATCGCATGAATAATTGCCCTTCCAGAGTTCCTCTGATTTCAGAAACTTCAGATGTCTATGAGGTCCCTTCTGTTCCCTCCTTCTCGTCCAAGCCCAAGAAGCGGCAGGCGTCGTAGCCGTAGTATCTCGAGACCCGCTTCAGTTCTCTCAAGTTCTCTCATGTTCTCTCTCTCTGAGGCCCCGCGCTGGCCCTGGTACCCCAAGTTGTGAATCACGTAAATGACCCGCGCCTATCGGATGCGGGGCACATGCGGGGCACATGCGGGGCACGTGCGGGGCACATGCGGGGCACATGCGGGGCACTGGGCACTTCTTTCATTTCACATTCGTCAAACCACTCCGGGGGTGCCGGCTGTGCCTGGGAGTAGCAGTTGTGTCGGCGGTACTTGTAGCACATGTACACTGGCACCTTGCTTCACACACGCCGCTTGAACGGCTGCGCTTCTCTCAGACAACGGCCAGCCCTGCTTGCCAGTCGTTTGCCAGGAATGTCACCTGAAGCGCCAATGCGTCAATGCCCCTTGTGCAACTCAGTCGAGTCGCCTTATCACCGTACCTGCCCTGGCCATTGATGTCCAAAACCAGCGGCGCCTCTCGCTCTCTCGCTCACTCGGTCTGCGGTTCACTCGGTCTTGGCTCAGCCTCCATCGCAGCCAAGCACAGCAGAGTGAAGCGGTGGAGGTTGTCCTAAGTCAGGGAGTCACAGTGTTCTTCTGCTTTTGGCAACAGCTTGGATGTAGCTCATGCATCGACCATGTCTAGGGCTGCGTCCGGGTACTCGCAGCCGTCGTTGTCGTTGTAGAGGCCGCCGTCTCTTTCTATGCCACGGCCCTCAATGAAAAGGAAGTCCGTGCCTTTGCCCTACAACTCGCACTCAGTGCAGTCAGTGCAATCAGTGCAGTGAGTGCAGTGAGCGCAGGCGCAGTCCTCTTCCAAATCCTTTCGAAGGTAAAAGTATTTCACGTTCTCCTGCATTGGCGCATTGCTGCATTGCTGCATTGCTGCATTCCTCGAGGTGTGTGACTTGTGTCGTGCCTCCTGGTCATTCACACGAACACGTGTCTCGCCGATGTACCTCAGGCCCTCATAATGCTTGTACTTCGGCGCCACCACCATTGTCCGATGACCATTCCTGTCGAGCCGACGCCGACCTTCCGTCGCTCGACCTCACGAGTCCTGGCGAATTCGAAGCCATAGGAAGCCGCGACCATGCCGAGCCCACCCGTCCTGCAAATGTTGAAATGCAAATATGCGAATGCAAGATATGCAAGATATGCAAGATATGCAAGATATGCAAGATATGCAAGATATGCAAGATATGCAAGAGCCAAAGCCATATTGGAGTGCAGTGTGCAGTCTTTGAGAAGGGTGCAACTTCGCTTGTGACCACAACCACCGGAACATTCAAGTTGTAGGGGTCGTAGTGCGATTGTGCTACCTTCTTCCCTTTCCGGTGCTCGGCTTTGGCTTCTGCGGGCGCAATCTCTGCCAGCGCAGAAAAGCTCCTTGGCTCAAGGGCAAGTCGCATCTCCAAAAGCCTATTGGGCATTGGCTCAGGCAACTTGATATGCAGGCAAGCAGCGTAATGTGCCTCAAAGACACACCACGCCGCTCAGGCTCCTCTGGGACTTTCAATGGTTCTTCGATCTCATTGGGGGTCTGAGAGGCGTCTCCTTCAGGGACTTCAGTGCTCTCAGTCTTGGCAGGTTCCTCACGATCCTTGCTTTCCACATCTTGCGCTTCCGCCTTTGGACTCTTTCTCGGGCTCGCGTCCTCCTTTGGACTCATTTTTGGGCTCGCTTTCGCAGCCTCATCACCCGTACCTTGGGTACCTTGAGTACCTTTGGTATCTTGGGTACCTTGGGTACCTTGGGTACCTTTGGTACCTTGGGTACCTTGGGTACCTGGGGTACTTGGGGTGCCTTGGGTACCGGTACCTGGGATGTCGTCCACATCCAGGGTCATCAAGCTCTGGGAGAAGTTTCGCCGACTCATGGGCCGATCTGCCAGAGTGACAGCTAGAGGGCAGTCGGAGGCAACTTCTGCAGCAGCTTTGTCCACAGAGGACTCTGCCATTTTCAGCAGGATCTCCTCCTTCTCGTGCTTGGCCGCAGCCTTGTCGGCCGCCGCCTTGTCGGCCGCCGCCTTGTCGGCAGCCGCCTTGTCGGCAGCCGCCTTGTCGGCCGCGGCCTTGTCGGCCGCGGCCTTGTCGATTGTGGCCTTGTCTTCTGCAGCCTTGTCTTCTGAAGCGACGTCGGCAGGCTCCTCAACCTTGTCAGCAGCCTCAGCCTTGTCAGGCCCAATGCCAGTCCCTTCACTCCGCTGAGTCCCTTTAGTCCCTTTCCCTTCTGCCCGAGTCTGAACCGTCTCTGGAAGGCTGGTTGTGATTTCTGCGAAGGCCTTGTCCCAGTCCGACGCGGCCTGGATCAGCTTGCCAGCGACTGGCGTGACCCGGTAGTTGCCCTGGAAGTTCTGCCATTGCGGACTGCCCTGCCGGTCCTCTCGCTGAATCACAAACTTGTATTCCACCATCATCCCCGCTATCAAAGGTATTGCAGAAGACTGCCACTCGGGGAACGTATCCGCAGATGTGGTGAGAGGCAAAGCCATTGCAGTGGACCATGAGCCCAAGGCTTCATGGCCACCCACCACGAACACCGCTTCACCCGGACGCGTACTTTGGCATCGCACCTTGAAAACTGTCGGAGCGCTCGACGGAGCTATTGGCGTTATGCCACTCATGCACGCTGCACGCTCTACACGCTCTGCACACTGCCGGGCACTGTGCCGGGCACTGTGCCGGGCACTGCCCCACGCTCAAAGTTGACGGCTATCGATCTCTTTGAGCCGTCTCATGGCAAGCACACTGCAAGCACACTGGAAACCACTGCAAGCGACAAGCCACTGGAAGCCACTCTGGAAAGACCAGAAACAGCGACTCTTTTAACGAACGCCAGGGCTGCAGGTCCAAAGCTGCACCCAGTCGCCTCACATTTCTATTTTTCCAAGTCTCAGGCTCTCAGCAGAGTCTCAGGCAACCCACCGGACCACAGTGCCAGGTGGCCTTCGGTCGCCTGCAGATCTGGCCCTCGATGCTGCCCTGCCCTTTGGCCCGGCCTTATCGCTGTCTTCGGTCTCCTGCAACTCTGACATCTCTTTGCCTTCTGGACCCCTGCGGACTGCGAGCCGAGACGAGAGTCCTCCCACCAGCCCTCCGGCAGGTCGACAATGCCGTGAACGGTGCGATGCAGCAAAGCCAGGAAGCCGTTCCGCCTTTCACTGCGCGCACTGAGCACTTGCATCTGGAATGCCGAATGCACCCGTCTGTGGCTGTGACACATCGCTGCCCTTTGCAGGTGGCAGTGCCTGCATTGGCAAGCCAAGCAAAAGTCAAAAGTGGCTTCGCCCGTGTGTTGCACCTGCAACGAGCTCAGGCTCGACAAGGCCGAATGCTTTGCCTTATGCGACGATGCCGCGCAGGCCAGCCAGGCTAGCCACAAGGCCAGCACCACTAGCAGGAGCACGCGGCAGGCATATCGCAGCCACCTTGCGGGGCTTGGCTTCACAATTCGAGCGAGATATTTTGTGCTGCGGTGGCCACTCAATGCCGACCAGCGCTGATGCGAGGATGGCAGCCGCAGGCACCTAAGCACAGAGAACAGGCAATGGACGGGGTCAAAACTCAGAATTTCCGGGAGCCTGGGGTCCTGGCATCTGGAAGCTTTGCGGTTGCCTCAAACCTCCGCAAGTTTTGCCGCCGCTCGGACAAATGGGCATACCAGGCCTCGCTCGCTTCGCTCGCTTCGCTCCGTCGCTCGCCCGCTTGCTTCGAGAGCCTGGCGTTGGCCGCCTTCGTCTCCACCTCAGGATCAGCATTCTCCCGGGCAGACGGGCAGACATGCTCAAACACGCCTGGGACAGCTCCCCTGTCAACAAAGCCAGCAAGCTCCTCGACACTGTGACCATATTCTTCCGTTGTTCTCTTTAAAGCGTTGGAATACACCGCTGAACCCGCGTACAACCTCCACTGCCATTGCACCTCAAGGCCTTGAGCCTAATGAATGTGTCAAAAGATGACATTTGCCGTGCTCGCTTTCGGATCTTTCGGATTCCTGGCAAAGTCGGCGTGCTCCGCGGGCGCGGGTGCCTGTGGCGTGCTGCCATGGCCCCATACGCCGACCATACGACCCCAGTCGCAGTCGTCTCAGTCGTCTCACTTTCGGGCCGCGGCATCCCAAAGCTCCCTTGCCTCAGTGACTCAAACGGCATTGACAACGGCAACATCATGCAACATCGCACTCAGACCCGCCCGAGGCCACGGCCAGCTCTGTGGAGGCCTACACGAAACACGGGCGCTGATCACTTCGCGACGCTGGCGCACGTCACCGAAGATCTGCGCTGCGAGCAGCTGCAGCAGCCTCCAATCTGAGCTCTCTCTGCACTGGGCTGCAAAAGGGCCCGCGCCGTGCGCCGGGGGCCTGGAAGTCGATGCAACGGATGCAACGGAATTCTTACCTCGAATTTGTAGGCCCCGTGCTGGAGCGGAGAGGCCTGCGGCTTTGCAAAGTCTTGACTCTCTGAACTCGTCTCGAGCCTGCAGCGAGGAAGCCGCTCAGCAGGCACCAGGATGGGCGCCTGGCACGGCCTTTGGGGCCCAGGCGAAGGCGAAGAAGGCGAAGGCGATGCGCGCCAAGCCGTCCCGCTGCCAGCCCAGGGAGCACCAAACCTCCCACTCACACTCACAGAATTCATCGCACTCCCGTCACTGGGCCGCAGACACAGGAACCTCTACCACAGCATCCCCAAAACCGTGAACCTTGGGCTGAGAAGGGTGAGGAGGGCTCCAAGTGAAGCATGAGTTCCCGCTCTCTCATTCTCCCTTCTCTCGCTTCACTCCCTTCTCTTTCTCTCTGCCTGCGAGAGGGTCTCGACCTTGTGCCACATCTTGGTAGCACGCACCGATGCCCTCCCACTCTGTGGATGCCTTGGATGCGGATGCTTCACTGCGCGCTCTCTCCTTTGCACTATCCCGCGTGACTGCAATTGCTTCCCAGCGTTCGATCTTGGATCCACACCAAATGTGCAGGGGCAGCATGCTGCTGGAGCGCATAAGAATGCCCACCTCACTGCACTGTTGGCAGCCCAGGTTTGAAGATGACATGTCAAGGCACGGAGAGCCCGTACGCTGCACCCAGTTGCACAACCTCTGTCTCCACCTGCCAGTTGCGCAAAGGCATCAAAGGCTCGAAATGGCAGGTTCAGACGTGTCTCGCATGGCCTCAGGGTTGTCAATGTCGCTCTCCAGTAAGAGTCCAGTCCTTCGCAGATTCGCATGCTATTTCTTCACTGGACCCTTCAGCCTCTCCTGTTTGATGCAAGAATTGTGTGCAGAGAGTAGCCCTGTTTCCACTCTTTATCTCTCCATCAATGAAATGTCTGGGTGCCGGATTCCACGCGGGTCGTGCCAAAGACGCATGCAGCTGGCCCGGCTCTGTTCGAGGTTAAATGAATAGGATGCTGATTACAAAACCAGGTACCGTGTTTTAATAGAAATGAATAAGGACATAATTTAATCAGAATCCTTGTCCAAAAGGATCTCAAAAAGATTATTGGATTTTGAGTAGAGCTCCATAACGATGAAATGTTGTTGTAAGTTCTAGATGAAAATAGAAAGGATTTGATTTATGTTTGCAAATGGAACACAACCAGACAGGAATTATACGCAATGACCTGCAAGTGAATAAAGCTCCTTGTAAAGCTCCTCTCAAGGCTCCGTATAAGGCCCCTTATGCCAACCAGGACTTGATAATTGAGACATACAACTGAATTTGTGCCCGCACATAGTACAAATTAGTGAAGATGGCGCAAGAAAGGTAGATCATCCGGGGGGTGTGGGGGGCTGAGTATATTGAAATATATATATATATATGTACTACAAATTATACAAGGAACATTACATTGATGCAGTTCACACTGCCTGAAACGCTGCTGTTACATCCACTTGACACCTAAATCACCCGATTACACGGCAAAGCACATTCATGCAGTTCACAATGCTCAAAAAGCTGCTCTTGCACCCACTTGACGTAGAAATCGCCAGCTTACCCGGCAATGGACATTCATACATCTCACACTGCTCAAGAAATCGCTATCATAAAAAGCATATGCAGCCTGTAAAGCTCACAGTGTCGCACTCATTTGTCGCAGCAACTGCCAGCGTATGGTGCAAAGGCAGCACATACACCTGACAAGGCCTATTCGATATAGATATGCTGGACAAGTTCCAGAAACAAACATCATGGTTGAGGCACCAGGGCAAGCAAAACGAGGGCTGAAAACGGAAAGCAAAGAAAACCGGTGAGAACGGCAAAAAGAAGAGCGGTGAGACTGTGGAACATGTGGAAACAATTGCGACCCGACAACCCAATGGTTTTGTCCTTGCTGCCGGCCCATAGCGACCAGAGTTCAGTTGCTCGCAGAAGCACTCGACGTGCAAGACCTTTCTTGTTAACATGGAAAGGACCCTGGTCTACTGCTTCGCGCCTGGCTGCGAAGGTCCTGGCTCAGAATGGCCACGAGCCGTGCTGAAGACAGTCCGGCGCTCCTCCTGAGTGAAGAAAACTAAAGCCAAAACAAGAAAACAGGAGCCCAAAGATCCCAAAGAGCCCAAATCTGAGTGGCGCCACATGGCGGGCCACACCTTCCCCAGCTCCTCCGTCCTGACAAGTCTGTGTGTGTGTCTCGCACAGCGTCATGCGCGTCGCCTGGAGAGCCGCAGCCCCACAGTGCAGCAGCCCTGGAACCTACTGAAGCTTGAAACCGGAAAGAGAAAGAAGAAAACAAAGAAAACAAAGAAAACACACCCCATAACAAAAATAAACCAAATTCCGAGTATTCAATGTGTCACGAGATCGGTCGGGCGCACTGGGCCAGCGCAGGCACTAGGCCATGATCCAGACCGTCGTGGGTGAGGACGGGCGTAATCTCTGCCCCGATGGCGCTGCAAGTCCTCGAGAGCGATTTTGGGAAAGCTAGGAGCGTAAGAGCGCTTCAACTCGCAAAGTTGGCAAAGCTGGCAAAGGGCAATGAATGGGGCCTAAACCCCGAGCGCCTCCGTGCTTCGAACACGTCGCGAAACCAGAGGCTACTGTAGTTGGCCGGCAGCGGCACCCAAAAGCGCCTGGCCGCTGTCTTGTGGCATTCGATATCTTGACATCTCGATTTCCGCGGTCCGCGGTCCGCTGTCCATACAAAGCATTGGCCTCAAATCTCTCGATAGCTCTCGATAGCTCTGGCAACTGCCTGATCTGCCATCTTGCCAACTGCCGCAGCACTTGCGATTGTTCCTCCAATGGCAGCTTCCAGAGGTCAATGAAGACAGCACCTGAGATCCCTCTTCACCTCTCTTCGCTTTCCAGATTTCGAGGCTTCGGGCACCTTCCGAAAGTGTGGACCTTCCTTTCCCCCTCTCCTCTTTCTCCTCTTTTCCAATTTCAGTTCTCGTTCAGTTCTCAGAAACTCCCAAGTTTCTCTCCCAAATTTGTCTTGTTCTCCCCGGCGCTGCGTGGCTCCGGCCCCCGGAGGCACAGCGCGGGGAGCCGCGCGCTCAGCGAGGAGCTCGCCCGGCGGTGCAGCGCCAGCTGGCGCAGCGCCTCTACCCCCGCGCCCAAGGCCTCAGAGAAAAACACGGAGACGGAAAAGAGATGGAAAAGAGAGGGAAAAGAGACGGAGATGGCAAAGCAATAGGAAATGCAGCCCGCAAAAGGAAGATTCCCTTGAAGAACTAAGCCAATGACAAGCCCAAAGCAAACCGAACCAGCAACGGCCAGTTCGGGCAAAAACAAACCAGGAGAAACAAAAAATCTCGCAAAGCTCCGGGTTCGAAAGCTTGATCCAAACGATGTCAAGAGCAAAAGAGGTCTAACCAAGCGGCCCAGATGTTGCCACCAACCAGCTCAACTCTTCCCGGACCCTTGGAATTGGTCAACTTCACTTGGAAGCCGTCCAGTGAAGGGTCCAGCCACAGGTCCACGTCAGACTGTGTGGCATCCTCCGACACCTCAGATATCTCGAGTGACATCTTCAGTAGTTCTCACTCTCTCGTTGCAGTCAAGTTCTCGCTCTCTCGTTCTTGCAGTTCTCGCCTCCATGGAATCGCAGGGCGCCCGCAGTACTGGCACCAGCACGGGCAAGTCCCCTGCCAGTGCCTGGTGCTCTGGTGCTCCAACGGCCCGACCGCCGTCTCAGCCCACTCTTTTCAATGGGCACACCGAGGATCAACGCAAATAGAGAGGATCTCTGGCTCTACATTTCTATTTAAAACAGTTCGGCAAGGACTTGGTATGACTTGTGTGTTTCTTCTAGTTCGCTAGCTGGTCTGCAGCCTCCATCCTTGCTTCAACGGCAAGGAAAACACAAGCTGAATCCTGCAACGAGGGTGCGTGCCCATTCTAAACGAATGTTGAGCAGCTTGCTTGCCAAGACCGCCACCCCAACAAATGGGCCTGCAAACAGTATCTGAGCTGCTCTGAGAGGATGGAGGCCTCAGCTCGTGGCCAAGGCATAACGGATCACAAAGGCAGAAATCTGAGGCACGGAGGGGATGTCGGCCGGCATGCGCACTTCAACCTTTGCAAATCTCAGTGACTCTCTTTCTCTCTCGCTCTCTCTGCACTCCGTAAAGATTTGCAGACGATGCGACACAACGGAAGGAAACCGGCCTGCAAGGAGGGCCCGAGGATCAGATTGACTTCATCATCCCAGGACCGTGCCGTGGCCGGAGGCCACAGCAGGAAATCCGGGCAAAGGATCTGGCCTATCGAATCCACGAAAGGCCGCTTCGGGGCCGCTTTGGGGCCGCTTCGGGGCTCGTCAAATCCCGAGCTTGTGGCGAACTGGAATTGGCACCTCCTCCTCAGGCGATTCACCTGAGAGAGCAAAGAGACCACACAGAGCATACCTCTGTATATATATATATATTTATTTATGTATATTTATGTGTCAATATATAGATATTGTGAAGATACATGCATCCCCATGCACCATGGATGCTGCCATGTACAATCAAGATCAAGGCCTTGAGCCTTAGAACAGCAATTGCACCGGCTACATCATTGCTCAGGGGAAAACAACGGCGTTTCAATTCACACAGAGGTTCATCACTGCATTCAAACAAGTATATACTTGCTCCTTCTTTAACATGGTAGCGGGGCCGTAAGTGGTATACGTGGGAAAGATCCTTAACCTTAACCTTGAGTAGTGGTGGCCCAACAACGACAAAAGCAACAGCATCAGCTGGAAGGAATACACAAGTACAAGATAGCACCGCCACGATTCACAGAAGAATGCAACACCTTCGAAGCATGGAAGTACTAGATGGCAGCATACCTTGGGCTACGAGACCCTTCATACAACAGACTGCTGCGTGGCTCAGAACAATCACAACTGGCAGATACAAACGACCAACTTGAGACAGCAGCGCCTTGACAAGCAGTAGCGAGCAATGGGTACAACTGAGCACCAACTTACACTACATCTTGGTGAGCACATGCGATGGACCCGCATCTACAAGTTGCAGTGGATACTCCATACCACTTGGTACGCGAAGCATTGGGTGCCTAACAGGGACTCAAACCACAGAGCTTTACAACATGGGAGTTTCAGCTCGCCAAGTACGAACAAGACAACAACACACTACTATCAAACGCAGTCAAGATCGCAATACTGCTCAATGAGACAAAAGGACCACTACAGCAGCACCTACAGCTGCAAGCAGGAGCAATCCGGTGTACCTCTGCAGAAATGTGTCCAAGCATTGTTTGAGACATGCGCAGACTGTCATGCAAATGTTGCTCCCCAAAAGATGTAAAAGGGGTCGGTGTAGTTGCGAAAGCGAGGGTCGATCCACGGCAATGTATCTACCCTAGAAGACTGTTAATGTTCCGGCTGATATGTAGTGAAACAAACACATGTGTGAACTGCGCAACTGTTGTTGAACATGCTGCGCGCACTGTGTGAAACTGGTTGTAATGGCCTCAAAGGCCAACTGCATATGTGTGTTTGTTGAGTGTGTTGCAGCCAACAAACTTGGTGAGAATGTTGGCTGATTCGTCTTCTGATTTTACATTGCGCGTTGTGATGATTTTGCTTTTGACAAGTTGTTGTATGAAGAGGTGTCGCAGCTCGACGTGCTTTGCTTTCTTTGATGTACCTTCTCTCGTTGCTATTGATTTTGCTGCGCTGCTGTCTCTGTGCGTTCTGATGTTGATGCGTACTTCAAATACGTCTTTGATGAAGTTGCGGATGTCGAGGCTCTCCTGTACTGCTGTACCAATTGCGTACAGTTCTGATTCTTTGAAAGTGCTACTCTTGCTTGTGTTCTGCTGCCATAGTGTACTGCAGCTCCAAAGAAGTATAACACGAACCCTGTTGCGCTCTTCCTTGTCTTGCATGATGCCCAGTTGGCATCTGTGTATGTGTCGATGTTGAGTGGAATTCGTTTGTCCTGTGTTTGTATCTTTGGTCGCAGGTTGTGTCTCGTGTACCTTGTTCCTTTAAAGTACCTGATCATGTGCTTGAGCTTCGTGTTGTCAAATTGTGTGGGTCATTGCCATGTTTTCCAATTCTTTTGCTCCATAGCTACTGTCTGGTCGTGTGTGTGTGCTAGGCATCTTGCCACAAGCCGCCTGTATTGCTTGTGTTATCTCAAGCCATAGACGGCTTTGTTCAGTCGCCACACTATGTGTCTGTTTTCTTCATTGTAGAACTCGTGTGGCGGTCGCATTACCAAGTTGTATGAGATTCCTGCTGCATGTAGAAATGCAACGCTTACATCCCCTGTACAGAGCGACCAGTTGTAAACCACGCTGACATCTCCTGTACAGACCGACCAGTTGTGAACCAGCGCCATTGTGAGAAGTACTCTCCGTAATGTTGGCACTTGATTAATCAACTGGACTATAATAATGGAAAGTGTTTCCCTTATTCTGGTTCGCCCCCATTGTTGAAAGGGACCAGAATAATTGAAAGTTTTTTGCCCGGGCGGAAATTCCAAAAAAAACACAAGTCAAAATTGATTTTAAGAACCATCCCCCCCCCAAACAATCACCAAAAATCCATGTTGACCAAAAATCAATTGGCCACAGAACCCAAAGCCAGCTGAAACCTCTGAAATTTGAAAACCACCCCCAGCCCTGAAACTGCAAACTCTCTATTAAGCCGTGTAAAAAATACAAAAAGAAACAATCAGGACAAGGGTACCCCTCACAGACCAACCTGAACCACAATAATGTCATTCTTCTTAGTTGCAAGCCCCCAGCCCCCCTCCCAGAAAATAAACTATCAGTTGCTTTACTCAAAAGCATTCCCCTTTCAATTGGTGGCCCGCTTGCTTAAAGGCATCCCCTTTCAATTTGTGGCCCACTTGCCTAAAAGCGTTCCCCTTTCAATTGGTTGCTCAACCACAGAACCCAAAGCCAGCTGAAACCTCTGAAATTTGAAAACCATCCCCAGCCCTGAAACTGCAAACTCTTTACTAAACCGTGTTAAGACATGCAAGAAAACAATCAGGACAAGGGTACCCCTCACAGACCCCACTGAACCACAATAATGTCATTCTTCTAGCGGACCACATTTGTTGCAAGCCCCCAGCCCCCCCTCCCAGAAAATAAACTATCAGTTGCTTTACTCAAAAGCATGCCCCTTTCAATTGGTGGCCCACTTGCTTAAAAGCATCCCCTTTCAATTGGTGGCCCACTTGTTTAGAAGCTTCCCCTTTCAATTGGTGGCACACCCCTTCGAATAGGTACAGAAAGAACTGAAAGGGAAGTGGTTGCAATGCTGAAGTAGTACTCCAAAAAATCTGCTCAGGAAGAAGTGGTTGCAATACTAAAGTAGTCTTCAAAAAAGTCTGCTCAGGAAGAAGTGGTTGCAATACTAAAATAGAATTTCAACAAGGAAGTGGCTGCAATACTAAAGTAGAATTGGGCCTGAAAATCCTCCATTGTTTGGACATCCCACAAGTGAGCCCACATTATTCCAGCACCTCCATTGTTCAGTAGTGGGGGGCCACGCCTACAAATAAATTTGTTTCACCCATACTACCCACCCTACAACCTTTTTAATCTTCCATCTTCTACCCTTATTTGTTTCATCATTTTCTAAATTCCTTTCGGTCCATCTCATAGGCTTTTTCTCATCATGTTCTATTTTTTCGCAATCCTTTACTCCTTCCTCGCGTCACTCATTTCACCAACTACCCTCCAACATCTCCTTTTGTCAATCTCCTCGCCTCATCCATTTCAAAAACATAAATTCTGCAAAATATACTGCAAAACATATTTGTCAACAAAAAATCGAACTGTCTAAGAACGATTCTTCCATTTGTCAGACAACACATAGAACAGCAACAACATCACTCCCCTCCTTCGTTTTATCAGTTTCATCGTATATTTTAATAGGCGTGGTGCTCCTTGTAGGATTTATATATAAAACGCTACACTTACATTATAATTATACAATAAAATTGTATAAATGTTATAATCATAGTACGGTTAAAATTTCAGATCATGATAATAGTTTAATTGATGATGAGACAAAAAATTACATATTCTTTACTTCTTTCATACATCATTTTAAATATTAATAATATCTCTCACTGTGTTTTTAACATTATTATTCTTTTACTGCCAATATATGATTTAATGTCTTCTTTTACATCAAACCATTCTCTTCTACGATATAACAACATCCATAATATGTGGTCAATCATTTTATACTTTTCTTGCTGCTTTTAAGAAATGCTCTAACATAATCATAAGGTTGGATATTGTAAACAGCAAGAAATATTAAGATGTCGTCTTCATCTTTTCTTTCATAAAAACCTCTTAATACCCAAATGACATTTGATTCATTCTTGATAATATCTCCAATTTCTACAAGTTTTACATGCATCTTCTTTACCGAAAGCATAATCACTATTCCATTAGGTAAAGCATATGTTATTGATATAATTATTGATTTCGGTTTCCACCATTCCACTATAATATATACAGTTTGTATTTCTTTAAATACTTTTTTCCATGAATTAAGTTTATACCTTTAATAACTCGTGTCTCAAAAATGCACTGTCAAAATTTTCAGTATAATAACATTCTTGTCCTAACTTCTTTTCAATCTTTGCTATTTTGTAGGTTTGTTTAGTCCATACCCCTACTCTCCCCTTCTCATTCGGTCTGCTTTTCCTGAATATCTTAACTTCATTTCCTACATTTAAACCTGGATAAACTCTATTTCTGTTGGCTTTCATACCTAAAATTAAACTCACTTCTAATTGGTGTTTAGGCTTTCTTGCTTCTGACGGGGCTAAGCCGTGCGAAGTGTGTTTTATTCCATTGTTGTAAGTTAGCATAATCTCATGTATGTAGTCTGTCCATTGAATAGCCTTCCCTTTCTTCTCATCGAGTTCGACCCTCTTACACAAGCTATCTTTAAGCCCTGTCCGCGAATGCTGGGTGTCCCCTGGTTCTGTGCAACTCTATTTCTTCACTCTTCAAGAAATCTATAAGAGCTTGGTTATTATAAGCTCCTTCACCGTCAATACAAATTAGTTTGGGCTTTCCATCCACTTCCATCCATTTTTTAATACGTTCCATCAGTCCTGCTAAAATGTCCGCTGGCTGTTTTGACACAAGCGGGACAACAACAATATATTTAGAAGATATGTCAATACACATCATATCAACTTTCATTTTTTGTTTAGGGATATCATTAATGAAAAATAGAGCAACTTGAAACTCATAATATGCGTTGGGAGCTACAAATGAATTATGCCCTCTCGGTTTAGCTTTCTGTTCTACATTCTTCCTAAAAACTCATTTACGTCATCTATTGTAATTGTTTTATCCTTGTTTCTTGCTTCTTGTAAAGT